ACTTACTGTTTTGCAATGATGGTTTTGTAACAAACTTGATTTTGGATATTCTTAGTGGTTTTGTTGAAGTTAGAGTTTAAAGAGTTGTTTCTAGCCTTTTTATCTCGAGAGAAACATGACAAAATTTTGATAAGAACCCACTCACTGAAATGGTTTAAAGTGTGAACTTATGAAAAAACAAGTGGTTTTACATGATAGATATCACAATTTTTTAAAGCCTTGTCATAACACCTTTGACATTATTATCATCGAAAACTACCTGAAGTTAGAAAAAAGGGTGCACACTTTTTCTTTGGATCTAATTTTTCTCTATTTAAAGGTATGTAACTTCACATTCATTTGTTTAAAGATGTCAACTTGATCAGTTTAGAACTACCCAAAGAAAAAAATGAACAGTAGACAAACAACATGTCGTTTACCCTATATTTCAAATGATTTGTTTTGAATATTAACCAGATAATATGTCATCTAGATTAACCACTAAGAAATTAGGGTTTGTAATATGTGATTTGGTCAAATTTTAATTTAGTCCCTATACTCTCAAATCTTATTGATTTTATCCTTAATTACCCTATAATTTTAAATTTTGTGCAATTTTATTATTACCAAATTCAATTACAAACCCTAGAGTCTAGTTCCTTTTTTTTTTTTTTTTTACTTCAATCATTGGTTTCTAATTTATGTAAATTGACTCTTAATTGATAATTTATCTTTTAATTTTATTTAATTTTGGCTATTGATTTTGATGATTTTAGTTCTTGTAGCCACATGTCTTTTTGTTTTGTTTTGTTTTGGTTTTGAATTTCTTCTATCAAGTTCTCAATTTCCCATCAAAACTTCAATATTTATACAATTAAACTCTTCATTTGACCAAACTAGCTTTTCAAAATTACAATTTAACCACTAGATTTCAATTTCTTTCAATTAGAGCTCAAATTAAACTCAAAACCAATTTTAATTGCAATTAAGCTCTCAAAAAATTCAATTAAACCCTGAAAAATCCCCATCTAGTTCTTAAACATTCAATTTTTAATTTCGCTTTTTAAATTAAAATTTTCATGTCAATAGAGCCTTCATCAGGACATATTGGATTGCTAATTTTTCTAACCTTGTATATTTTGATCCTTCTAACTAGTGTTTGACAATTTCCTATGTGTTCTTCATATTATATCCATTAATATATATATATATATATATATATAATTTTTCTTTTCATTAGTTTTTGTATTTTCTTTTTTGATTTTTTTCCTCTTTTCCTCTTTTTTGTATATTTATATGGGCCTCTAAAATGGGTAACAATACGAATCATGAGATCATGACAACACTATAGAAAGAAAATTAAAAAATAATTATGATTATAAAGCTTATTTCTCAATCAATCTAATATTTAAAGATGAAATTGAGAAAAAAAAATACATGTAAAAAATAGGAAAAAAAATTAAGTCAACACAGTTAACTCATAAAATTCTCGATCTAGGTCATAAGACTAAGATAATTCCATACAAAGCAAATCAAAATAAATTATAAAGTTGGATACCCAATAAACTTAATGTTGATGGATAAAATGAAAAAAAAAACAGACATAAGTTTGAAAACCTAAAAAAATATTCTCAATTTTTAAAAATTGTTTTAAGAACTAAAGTGTAAAAGTCCTTAGAATTTCACTATTCACTATTCACTATTGTAGTGAAATGTCAAAGAGTTTTAGTATATTATTAAATTGATGACTTGCGCTGCAACATGAGCTAGTAAAACATTATTGAGCACATAAAAGGGATTGATTAATACTTAAAAGTGTATTTTTATCAAGGTTTTATATCATCATTTTGCACTTGAAGTATCGATAACTCCTTAACTAAAGCATGTTTTATAATAATATATCTAATAATATAAGATACCTTTAATTTGTGGTAAATGTTCATTTTAAAAGCAGGCCTATCACATAAATGAAAGGATTGACTGATGACTTTAAGAACTTAAATTGCAAGGATAAAGAGATGGCCAAACATAGAAAAGAGATGTCGGTGCAATCCAAACCGGAACACTGTTCGGTAAATGGGTCATATCTGGAGCTATATATCTCAGATTTAGGTCCAATTTATATGGATGGAAAGGTAAGACATAGGCCTACAACTTTCATATGGAGCCCAAGATCTAAAAAGGCCATTATCAAGTCCAAATTGTAGAAACAACAAAGAAGCCCGAATCTGTCTTCCAGCCCGAGCACTGTTCGGTATTTTGGCCATATCTGGAGTTCTAGAAGTCCAAATGAGCTGAATGGAGTTCTAAAAGTCTAAATGACCTGAAATGTTTACACAAAAAACTTGAGACAATTTTCTACAACTTTTATGTTTCAAGTGAGTCTAATTTTGACGCTATTAATGATGTTTTGGGCAGACAAAAGAAGATAAGGATTGTCACCAAGTCAAGAGTTAGTCACCCACTCATCAATTAGTCAAGTCAATAGTTCCTAATTTTGACCTATAAAAGGAGGAATTTGCCATGCATTTAGGCATCTTGGTTTCCAGATCAAGATCATGCTATTGCTTTCTCTTTTTGTATTTTTTGTAATGTTTATGCTTTACTTTCATTAATATCAAGTTTATGCCTTTCATTTCCTTTCCTTTACTTAGTTAACTTTTATGTTCTTATTTTGTTTATCTATTTTGCTTTCTTTCATTATGTCTAGCTAAGTTAATTATGTCAAGGTGAAAAGGTTACACTAATGGTGTGAGAATAAGTATAATGTAAACTTAATATGGACTTTAATGTTTGATACTAACATGTTTTATATTTGTTATCTTGTTCACTCTTTAATACTTTGCTTGTTAAATAACTAATCTTGATTTATGTTGTATAACACTTGGCACAACAAATGCTTGGCACTTTCATAGCCCATAATGTATGGTATAACCGACACCTGAGCTATGAAAGGAACTTGATTTGTTGTTAACATAAGTTATAATCATGAATACTTGACGAGATGTACAAATGTTAGCATTAAGCGAATAAGATGATTAATGCAATTATGTTAACAATCTATAATCTAATTGGAACCTCCTTTGTGTATGGTTTCCAATTGAATAATAAGAGTTTACACTATAGTTGTTTGACATACCATTAGTAGAATCTCTAACCTTGACATTTGTTATTATCATTGTTTAATCCTTATGTTAATCTTTCATCTCAAAGTTCTCATCAACTTCTTCTTCTTTATTATTATTGTTGTTGTTGTTACTGTTATTGTTGTTGTTGTTTATAATTGTTGTTTATAATTTATACAATTAATCTCCCTGTGATTCGACCCCGATCTTACCGGGTTATTTATTACGTCGACACTCCTGTACTTGGAAGAAGACATTAATCTTTTTGTCGTGTCAGAGATGCATAGACAACGACCATATTTATAAAGATGCAAGAATAACCTACAACTCGAGTTGTTAACTTGGCTGAATCCAATAAGATTGAGCAAAAAAAATAAATAAATTTGGAAACAATCAATCAAAAGAAATGAGCCACTGATATTACACTAAGAAAAAAAGGAAAAAAAATCATTGACAACTCACTATCTCTCCATTGTGAACATTGTACATTACCAAAAACATTTGGTAAGACAATTTAAACTTGACTATAAAATTTGAATAATAACATAGAAGAATTTGTATGGTTACTAAAGTAAAATCCTAAAAAAGATAATTAAACAAAAAAAAATAAAGTGAGTATCCATCTATATTCAATAAATCAACTCTATTTAATTCAAAAATAAAACTTATTTTAAAAAATAAACTTAATAAAGAATAATAAATAAATAGAGCTTAGGTAGCCTAATTAAATAAAAAGAAATGATAAAATAAAAAAAAGCTAAATTTCTAATTAAATAAAAGTTAAAGGATAAAATCAAAAAAATAATAGCTTAAAAACATAATAAAAACACTAAAATAATCCTAAAATAAATCTTATAAAGTTAGGTTAATTTTTAAAATTTACAACTTGTAAAATATTAAATACATACTAAATCAAGTTCGAATCTAAACTAATTAAATGTTGAATAGTTAAATTGTGTAAAATAAATATTACTTTTAAAAATATTTCAAAATAAAAAACAAAAATAAAATCTATCAGAAAAAAATTCATGGAGGGTGGAATACAAAAAAATTCTAAATATTATCTTAGACTATAAAAATAATAAAAAATATGAGAATTAAATTTGATAAAATAAAAATAAAATAAAATAATTTAATTTATAAAATTATTTTAAAAAATTATAATTAAAAAAATAAAAACTGAATAAAAAATAAAAAATTAGGAATTGACTAGAAAAAAAGGTGGTAGGTAGCCACGACTGAAAAAGAAAAGGGCGAAAAAGAAGGAGAAAAAGAAGTGCTGTTAAACCGAATCTCTTACCGGTGCTCGCGCCATATATATAAAGAGAAGATGTTAAGATAAGCTGGAGCCACCTTAAACTGGAATAAGTTGTTCGCGCTATCCGATACAATTGAGAGATTGACGTGCTGTAAAACATATATAACGGTGTCACTGTTACAAACAATTTTTGTTTTTTGGTATTTTAAAATGTCGATCTGGTCCCCCTCTCTTAATTACCACACTTGACACTCGCTCTTCGTCTTCTTCCCACAGAACACCATCACCATGAAAAGAAGACGAAAAAGAAGCAAACCCCATCTCCTTCTGTAACTTATCAGACCCTTCTCAGCTTTTGTCCATAAAAATCTACAACAACAACAACAAATATGTGTTACGTAGGGAAAGCAACAAAGATCTTCATCTTCATTGTAACTGTACTTGTTATTCTCGGTCTTGTCTTGGGATATGAACTATTACGCCATCACCTTCACAAATCACACAAATGCTCTGGTGACGACGATGATTGTCACCCTCCACAATTAACCTTCCCTAATCCTACCACAAGCGGACCTTCTGGGCTGACCCCACCTAGCACAGCGGGCATCTCCCAGTCCAGTCCACGGTAGTGACTCCAGGTCCTGTTCATGCTTAGCGTAGCTTAGCTTATGGTAGCTGTACCTTTTGTGTCATGGCTTTTTTTATTGTATTTAAAAAAAAAAAACATTGTGAATAAATTTTTTTATGGGTTTGTACAGGGGATGGTTCGGTGGGTTGTGGATTGTATTGTCGAATTTCGAGCATTAGTGAATTTACAGAACTGTCCCTGATCTTTTGATTAAAAAATATGATGTTATTGATTCTTTGCTTTCCTGTTTTTTCCCCTCCCTTGATAATTGTTCTCCTTGCTATTTTCTTAATATTATTATATTCCCAGCAATTTTTAATGCATATCCATTTTTTTATTTTTTTATTTTGATACATAGCCAGTTTTAACTATTGTAATATTATGAAAGAAAAAGATAAGGACTGCCATGACAGGTGGTCTCCATTGATTTTTTTGGACGATCCTGAGCTGAGGTTACTATTATATGAATGCCCAGGAATCTGAAATGCAAAAGGTTGGAAGAAAAGGCCATTGGTGATTGCAGTCTGCAGATCTTCTCAGCCTTTTTTCTTTTTTCCTTTTTCTTTCATGGGCGTAAAGTTTAGCCTTTCCATGTGAGACCAGAGAGATATGTGCTTCACTCACATGGTGGCAGATACAGGAGTAACATATTCATGGACCTTGCAACTTGTTTAGGCCATGGAATGCAGGCGTCAAGGTTTGAAGAGTGAGGCACAAGAGCTGCTGGTTAAAGAACAATACAATTAGCAGCATCATTCTTGCAGATATATATATTTTTTTTTTTGAGTTCATTAGTTTCAAGTTCTGGGCACTGCAAAAGTTGAGAGAACAGAAAAGTCAATGATTTCTTTCTCACAGAATTATTTATGGTGCGATAGCTTTATCAACGTGAGCAGACAGCTTCTCATATCGTACAGACAATCACAACGCAGATGATCGAAAGGAACGTTTCATGGGGTAATGTGCTTGATTTTTTGGAGGGCTAGTGGGAAAGAGAGTGATTTCCAGATGTGATGGCCATTTCATTCGGCCCCGCATAAATTACGCCACTAGCAAGTACAATATAATTAAATACTTAAATATCATACAGTTCAAAGATATTACGGTTTATAAATATGACATTATAATAATATTATGGTCCATAATCCTGATATATAAAACTATGATATTTTTAAGGAAATCATTTTAAAAAATATTTAGATATTTGATTAAATAGTTAGATTATAACCAAAACAATTAGACTGTTTTGGTAATGATAAGGTTTTAGATTATTTTTGTGTTTTAAACATTAAAGTATTTATAAAATCATACTTTTTGTTAATTGAAAATTTTATTTATTTTCTGAATTGAAAATTTTATTTATTTTCTGATTTTAGAGAGGTAAGATATTTATAATTTTATTAAATTTTCGATCAATTTTTTATCTATATAGAAATCATACATAAAATTTTATTCAACTTAAAAAAACTTACAAAAAACCACCATAACCACAATCAACAAAACTAACTAAACTCAATATATTATCATATTCTTTAATCACAAGTAACATAGGAATGTAAAAAAAAAAATTATACATGCAAAATAAATATAAAATAATTTAAAAATATGATAACATAGGAATGTAAAAAAAATTATACATACAAAATAAATATAAAATAATTTAAAAATATAATATTCAAGTAATTCTAAAATATATAAACATAATTTATTTATCTATTTATGTTTATGTTATCTATAAGATGATCCAGACTCGTTAGTAGCACAACCAGCTCATGGCTAAATGATTTCATTCTTTATCATATCATCATCAAGAGTTAACCTCTCTCTAAAGACTTCAAGTTTAATACGATAAACATTTAATCACTTGGATGTTATAGTGTGAACTTCGCTTTCTTTATTAGTATTATAAAGATAAGATATGATTTCTCAACTCTCTCATAAAAAAAACAACCTAAAATTAATTAAATGTTAATGTTAAATTAAAAGATAAATACATAAAACTCCTGAACATTTAACATATATTAATTATAAAAAACCTTTACTACATACATGATATTGAATCCACTAAACGTTTTTCTCATCCTGTATATAACCAAGTGGAGGAACCTACTTGGGATTTAGAGTTATGATTTATTGTGTTATACTCATGTACTAAATCATATACTCCTCATTAATAATTACATGATGCATATCTGTAAATATATCATTTCTTTGTGCATCCCATTATGATACCCTAGTACTATAACAAACTATCTAGTTGTAATCATTATTTTTATGCCTATAAGTAATGAGTGCAATGCATTACTCATACTACCAAACTGTATTATGCAGTACTTAAAATGTATTATTTGTAACCTAACTGTCATACTACCTGACCCATAAGATATAGTTAAATCATCTCAAAATATATTAGCAGGATCGTTATTGTCCTTATATCTATTCTATTGGTGTAGACAACTAGAGCAATAACCAATTTTTATTCCAAGTAAGACATCCAAATAACCTGTAAATTGTAAGTTAAATAAATATTAAACAACAATAATTTGGTACAGTTAATTATTTTATTCAATAAATAGTTAAAAAAACTTGGATAGGATGTTGCTTTTTTTATTCAACAAATAGTTAAAAAAAACTTGGATAGGATGTTGCTTTTTCAGCTCACTCAATAAAATGCTAGCACTTGTGTTGAATTATTTTCAAAAACTTATGTAGCACATCACTAAGCATTAAAAACTTATAAAATTTAATTGTATTTTTAAAGTTTCAAGAACATAATATAAATGAATATAATTGCAAAAATAACATTGCAATATATATATCCTAGTAGGAGATAAAGTGTAACCCTTATAGTTTGGACTATCATATTTGATAATCTCGATACATGAGACTTGCCTATATGGAAATGTTTCCACGATCATAACTGTTATTAAATAAAAATATTTTGTTAATTTTGTTGTGCATGAAAACATTGAAATCTAAGTAGTTATTTAGATTTCTTGATTCATACATATAAAAGCAGCCAACATCCTCTGACCTGTTTAACCTCCTTCATATGTAAGACATAAATGTTTGTATAAGTATGCCAATACAACAAATCCCTAACAATATGTGGGGATAACATTGAAATTTTCTAGGAGTGTCAGATAAAGCAACAAAACATATCTCTCTATAAGGCAGTTAAATAATACACTACCAGACATATATAGTACATATGCTTTCATATATTTGAAAAACATTAAAGTCATTATAATGATTAACGCAATCATATACCAATTAAGCAAGGTTCGATCCAAATAATAGATGTGTATCTCTTATACCAACTTTAGAAGGTCTTAAGTGATAATGATTTCAGAATTACTCCGATAAGGTCTTGAAAATGAGCAATTTAGTTAGCCATAACTAAAACATAATTATGTAAGAACCGACCTTCTTTTCGT